GCCCTCTTGGCTCCATGTACCAGATCCCAGATCTAGCCCAGCTGCCCAGCGCCTCGTTCTCCATGGCTGCCATCCCTCAGCAGGACGGGCAGGTGGCTCAGACGGTCCTCCCGGCCTACCACCAGTTCCAGAGCTCGATGGGGAAGTACCCCACGCCTCCCTCCCAGCACAGCTGCTACTCCTCGGCCACAGAACGGACTCCTAGCCACAACCGGCACTTACAAGGGGAGCACCCGTACCTGACTCCGTCGCCCGAATCTCCGGACCAGTGGTCGAGCTCTTCCCCCCACTCTGCCTCTGACTGGTCTGACGTGGCCACCAGTCCCAGCAACAACCAGCGCGGGCCAGCGGCCGCCCACATGCCCGAGCAGCAGCGGAACAACATGCAGGTGTACGCCTGAACTAAAGCGGACTCCAGAACTCATGAAGGTCTTCCAGGATGGAAATGAAGAACCATTTTAGTATCCAAGAGTCTTAATGAGCCCAGGATGCTCTTTCGTTAGAGGGACTGTGGTCGCTGTAGACTTGTATGCTTTCATGCTAAATGGAGAACTGTAGAAGCTGGTGATGGAGAAGACCAGCTGGGTCACTTCTGACCAACTGGACGTGACTGCTGTCTGCACTGGATTCTCCAGTCTGCTTTTAAACACGTTCCACCGTTGCTTTGGGGAGACAGCTCTTCAGCTTAGTACATCTTGTGGTCATTTCTCCAGAAATTTAGCCAAAACCAGCTTTGTATCCTTATTTTGTTACTCCTCCTGTTACCCACATAACCTCTCTCTGAAGCACCTTCTACTAGTTCTCCTCGAGTTCAAGTTGCCTTGTCTTGACACAGCTCAGAGCTGCACCCACATTCCTAGCCCTGCTCCTTCCCTCGTCCGCTCTTGCTCAGCAAGCGAGCTGGACCTCCCAAAACACCTGCAGGTCAAGTGACATCTCCTGTCACACAGCTTCACCCCTTCCTCTTCAGGAGTCCTTGCCTTGTAGAGACCCACTAACACCCCTTAGTGTTCTCACTGCCTGCTCCCCAGGTATTATGAGATTATATATACATATAGTCTTTTTAGGTTGTTTGTTTTGTTACTTTCCCTCCCAAAAACGCTGGTCTGACCTGGTCTTCCCACCACGGTGGCCTGTGGGCCCATCTCTTCTCCGAGACACCCCTGACCGTTTTGACACACTACCCTCCCCGTGCCCCCATCCTGCCAGGAGTGTCCATGACTGCCTCCATGGGTTCCCATGCCAGAAGAGATGCACTGCAACTGATACAGGCCTTTTGGGATGAGCACGAGTGTTTCAAAAACTGGTAACACAAGCTCCCAGCGTTCTTGCACAGTAGTCCCCTCCCCTCCATCCAAGGGTGGCTGTGTGTCCTGTCCTCCAGATACCATATGCTGCCTCTTTATGGTGTTATCAACAAGTGCCAAACATGTGGTTACATGTTTGCGGTGTGTGTCCTTCTGCGTCAGGAATGACATCCAGCCCTGTGAGAAGTGTCCCTGGGCCACAGCCGCCTGTCCTCCCCTCGCAGCGCACGGAGGCCGCAGCACTGACTGCCCCGCAGGCCTCCAGCGGCTGGGCTGTGGCAGCAGACCAAATAGCTCAGAAACCATTGCCTGTGCAGCTTGGTGCTCAGCTCTGGGGCTGTCCTGTGCCCTCAGCCCCAGCCTGAGCGGAGATCTCCCAGCCCAGGTGGCCTCTGTGGGACAGTAGGGCCGCTCGTGGTGCGGCCGCCTCCACGGTTTGGGGCTGCGGCAGCCAGCTGGCACTGACCTTGGCACACGGCCGCCCCTTCTGCTTTGCCCTCAAGAGCAGCGCTTCTCCGAAGGGCTCCAGACCAGCCAGCAGCCGAAGTGAACATTGTGGGGATGGTTTGCTCCTACCTCTTCAGGGGAGTGCTGCAGACACGTCTTCCAAGGAGCTCGGGGCGCCGGCTGCTGCCAAAGGACTGAGGGCCGCTCCCCTGCGAGCCGCCATCCAACACCCTACCGTGTACAGTATTGTCTCTGCTCTTCCCTCCACTCTAATCAAGAGTCAAAGTTGCTTTGCTTTTCTTGTTTTGTTTTGTTTTCCAATTCCACCTAATGGTACATGAAGGCAGGGCCTCAGGAGGAGCTGGTTCCCGGGGCCGTCGCTTTGGGCTGTACTTTTTAGTTTTTAGCTCTGTGTGTGGAGCTGCCGCTTTTCCTGGCTCACACAGCATTCCCAGCACGCTGGCTGCAGCGGGGCAGCTGACTCAGACCTCCAGGGGTCTGTCCAGGTACACTTTTCACTGCAAATAATGAAGTGTTGCCACAACCATGCTAAAGAAACAAAGGGCTTTTGCTCGTTAGCTCCAAATAACCAAGTGCCTTTTTATATATGTGGCTACCTTTTACAAGATGAGTGCTTTCTGTGGAATGAAGCCGGTTCCGTGCCTGGCTGTTAATATGATGGCCCTCTGCCTTTCTTCTCTATTTTTTTTTAACTACTTGTAAAGATAATATCTCCTTAAGGTGGTATTTTATCTCGTAAGTTGTAGAGTAACCATTCACACAGCAGCATTTTCCTATATTAATAATGGAAAATATTTGCTTATTTTTACATTTTTTATAAAAGTCTTTTATGAAAATAGTTGCTGCCAAATGTATAAGCAATTTTTATCCCCAGAATAAAAGTATGTGCCCAGTGTCTGTGTGATGCTGTTTTCATTTTGTTTTCCTGGCTACTGTGGCACAGCCACTGGCTTATAAATGAGTCAGGAGTGCTCTGTCTCAGCACCACATGAACCCCACCACGTAGCTCCACCCAGGAGAGCTGGAAGCAGCCTGGAGTGGGTGCAGCAGGTGGATTTTGGGTCTCTTGGTTAGCTGGGAAGGGGGCAGTAAGCAGCAGCCAAGCAGCTGGGCATACTGGGAAGGATGGGGAAGGACTGGGATGGGCCCTTTCCTGGGCACTTTGGGTGAGAGCTCTCGCTTGCCTGTGGGAGCCAGGGAAGGCTTTTAGGAAGGTGCTGAGCGAGTGTGGGCCAGGCAGTGGGGCTGTGGATTCACTCACTCACTCACTCTCTCAGGTCCTGCTTGCTGCCCTTGGCTCTTTCCTGCCCTTCCAGTAGGGAAGAGGATCCACATCCCTGGAGCTGGGGCTGCCTCCCCGGCGTTGTCTCAGCAGCTGATGCATGGAATCCTTAAGGCTGGAACTGGAACAGACCCCTAAAATCATCGAGTCCAACCTTTAACCTGGCACTGCTGTGTTCACCCCTTAACCATGTCCCCAAATGCCACATACAGATGGTTTTGGAACATTCCAAAGATGGTGATTCCATCTCTTTCTGGGATGCCTGACTGCACTTTCATTGACAAAATTTGCCCTGGTATCCTCTCTAAACCTCCCGTGGTGCAACCTGAAGCCATTTCCTCTCATCCTATTGCCTCTTACCTGGGAGAAGAGACCAACCCCCCCTGTCTACTGCCTCCTCTCAGGTTGTTGTAGAGTGTGATAAGGTCCCCCCTGAGCTTCCACTTCTCTAGACTAAGAGCATGAAGATGTGTGATTCTCTAGCCCCTGAAACAGGGAATCACCCCTCCTCTGTGCTGGTCTCAGGCTTGGAGAGTTTGACTTGAGCAATCAGAAAACAAGCTGCTGAGTTGTGTTTGCAGCACAGAGGTGCCACTGAAGCCTTGGGCTCCCCTGGTGCTTACCTGGCTCTTCCCCAGCTCTTGCTGTGGGCTCAGATGGAGCCAGTAGCTGAGTTACGCTGCTGAGCTGGGGTAAAGTTGCTGGGGGCATTTTAAGGGTTTAGCATTCAAACAGTGCAGCTCCTTTATCTCCTGGTAGAGCCAGCTGGGCGAGTCCAAACCTCCGGGAGGCATTCATCCACCTTCTCCCACAGCTTGCACATCTGTGCCAAAGTTTAGCGAGCTCTGCTGAGCCCCTGGCACAGCAGCATCCAGCTCCCTGGTGCTCAGGCTGAGACTTGAAGCTGTCTCCTGGGGCTGCTCCTGCCTCCTGCCCAGCCCAGCGCGGCCAGGGGCTTGTGGAAACTTGCTGTGCTGCATCCACTGAACCATCCAGGCAGGGAGCTGCCACGTCCCTTATCTAACTGAGGAGCAGTGCAGGAGCCTGAGGCTCCTTGGGGGAGATTTTTCACTGTTTTTCTACCAATCAAGGGTGGAGTTCTGTTTTCTGGGGAGTCGCTGTGTTTGCAGGGTTTTGCCATTGATCAGAGCAGCTGATGTGTGGCAGGTTGTTTATTTCAGAAGTGATAGCAGGCAGCAGCTGTGTTTGGACACGAGAAGGTCTCACCCCGGAGGATGCCTGGCAAGCAGCAGCAGCTCTATCCCGCTGTGTGGGTGAAGGAGAGGGGCCTGATCCCCCTCCCTTCCCGGGGCAGGAGCCAGACCTGCCCCTGCACGCCGGCAGAGCAGCTCCCTGTGGGCGTAGCAGCGTTCACTGACTGCGTTCCAGCAAATGCTGCTGCAGAGGAGAGCCCGTGGCAGATCCCTGTGCTGCGCAAGGCTTGGGCCTGACACAAAGATTTCCATGTGGGGGAAGCAGGGCTAGCCCTGGGTCTGGATCCTCTGCAGGCCACACTAATGCTGGTGAGCTCCAGGGCTGCTCCCCTCCTTCCCACCGGCCTCCACCAAGGGTTTTGGGGAGGGAGAGGGCATTGGCCAGAGCTGGCAGCAGGATAATCATTCAAAGCTGCTCTGGTCCATCGGGAGCCAGCAAAGTGACTCTGCAGAGCAATAGGAACGTGGAGAGCTCCACAGGTGCAGAATACAGCCCGGGGCGAGGAGCAAGGACCGTGGCAGGGCAGGCTGTGCCAGCCCTTGCCGCAGGGCTCCAGCTGCTGGGCCCGGAGCTCATCCCTGTGCTCCATGCCGGCATGCTGGGGCTGCAGGGAGCTGCTGGGGCAGGGGGCTCTGCTGGGGGAGCTGCCCCTTCCCCCCGGAGGGACACAGTGACGAGGGCTTGCGTCACGGCCGGGCCCGAGGGCTGGGCATCCTCGCCGCTATCTGATGGCACCGCCAGCCCCCGGCTGCAGGCTGTTCCCACATCCCGGCCTCCCATCCTGCTCGCAAACATCCCCCGGCAGTTCAAACAAGGGCGGTGTGTGGGTGACGCATGGCACAGCCGGGCAGGGCGCGGGGCCCGGCCGGGTGCCATCCCCTGGTTGGGGACAGGGGCAGTGCCAGGGATCGGAGCCACGGCAGGGTCCCGCTGGTGGCAGGGATGCCCTGGCCGGGATCGGGGATCACCCCGGGGCTCACCCCCGGCAGCTCTCGGGCGATGCAGGGCTGGCGCAGCGGGCATCCCTGCCAGGTGCCAGGCTGCTCGGGGCTGGAAGATTGTATCTGTATCGCGGGAGCAATTAATGACGATTGCAGGGGATTTATTTACCAACTAGGACAGGTTCTTCCTGTCTGTTTCTGGAGATATGTGAAATGCAAACAGGTTGGAGATCTGGGCAATTTTCCAGCAAAGTGGGGGGAATGGAGGGGGGTCAGCGGTAAGATTTTTATGGTGAGAATCACCTGAGCAGGGCAAACAGATGCTGGTGAGCACCAGGCTATAAAGGGCAGCTCCTCTCCCCTCCCGTCCCGGTGACTCGCCACAAGCCGCTATTCCTCACCATCTCCGGACAACAGGTGAGGAAGAGGAGCCTCGCAAGGCAGCTGGGGCCTCGGGATGCTCAGAGCCGGCTCACGGGCAAACAGGAGCTGGTGCCTCTCCCTGGCTGCTCCCGCGGGAGCCGAGCTCTGCCCTCGCTGCATGGGCCAGGCTGTGATGCTGCATTTTTCAGCCCCGCGTTGACTTTTGTCGCTGCTTCTTTGAGGGGAAGAGGAGCTGAATCTGCAAATCGGCCCCGGTGCCCCGGGATTAGCCCAGATAAAGGGGAGCTGCGCTGATGTGGCCGATTTGCCTCCCCGGCCCGGGCAGCGCTGCGAGCTCCGGGCGTGCAAACGCCGCCGTGCTCGCAGCGCCTGCAGCCCCCCCTGTGCCACTGCCTGCTCGGGGCCCCGTGTCCGCCACAGCGCCCTCCCCTTGACCCCACAGCGCAGTTTGGCTCTCCCGGGTGTCTCCTGCCGAGTCTGGGGCTGCCGGGGCCCGGACAATCCGCTGCCAGTGTGGGCTGGGGACTCCCGGCCATGCCTGGGGTGCAGAAATGGGGCAGTGCCCTGCGCCGGGGGGCAGACACGGAGCCACGGCCTGCCATCCCCTCCGGGCGGCTCGGAGGGGCCAGGCGGGCGGGTTTGCGCTCTCTGAGCGCAGGTAGCATCCTCTGTCCCCGAGGGACCCTGTGTGGTGACCCTGCCGAGCCTTTACAGGGAGCGCGGAGGATGGCGGCTGCGGCCAGACTCGCCTTGCTGCTGCTGGGCTGCGCGGGGCTCCTGCGGCCGCTCGGTGAGTGCCGGGGCTCGGGGGGCAGCGGGGAGCCCCGCTCCCCTCCACGCCGGCTGTGCTCATCCCGCTCTCCCCAAACAGACGGCCGGTACATCGGCTACTGCCCCGACGGCTGGTCCTACTTCTACCTCAGCTGCTTCAAATACTTCTCCGAGCCCCTGAGCTGGGAGGAGGCTGAGGTAAGCCCGGCGGGGTACACAGGGGAACAGGGACCCCCCGTGTCCCCGAGGCGCCCCGGCACTGACACCTCTCCCTGCAGAGACGGTGCCAGGACGTGCAGAAAGGCGCCCACCTGGCGTGGGTGGAGAACGCCCACGAGGCAGCCACGCTGCGCAGAACCATCTCCTACCACCAGCGTGTGCAGGCCGTCTGGATCGGGCTGCGAAAGAGCAAAGAGGTGAGGTGCGGGCGGCAGGGCTGATGGGGGGCTGGGGGACGGCAGGGCCGTGCCTCTGAACCCCCCTCGCCCTGCTCAGAGCCAGGCCTGGCAGTGGACAAATGGGGAGGACTACGGTACCGGCGGCGGGGTGCCCGGGAACGGTGCCCGCGGGGGGAGCTGCGCCGCGCTGACCCATGACAGCGGTGAGTGGCGGTCCCCGCAGCCACCCCAGCGCCCGGGCGGGGCTGCACTGCCCGTCCCATCCCCTGCAGCGGGGCTGCAGCGGGTACAGCGGCTGCCCGTCGCCATGGCCCTCGCCATCCCTCTGCCTGTTCCTCCCGCAGACTTCTCCGTGTGGTCCAGCGCCGACTGCTCCCAGCAGCATCACTACATCTGCAAGTTCTACCCCTTGCGATGAGCGCAGCCCAGGACCCCGCGCCGGCGGCGTTCCCCCCGTGCCACCCCCGTGTCTCTCCCCAAAACTCCTATAAATACATCTTATAAAAAAAAGAAGCATGCAAGTGCCGTGTGAGCCTGGTGCTGGTGCTGGTCCTGGGCTGCTCCGTGAGAGAGAGACGGGCTCTGCCCCGGCTCCCCGAGTTTCCCGGCTTCCAGAGGCTTGTGCGGGCAGAGCTGCTCGGGGATGAGTCCCCAGGAGCTGCGGGGACCGTCCCTCCCCTGGCTGAGCACTCGGGTTTGCTCGTACCAGCCCTCGGGTGCCAAACACCGCGGGCGTCCCCGGGGAGCAGCTGGGGGCACAGGAGTGTCCCCAGAGTGCAGACACAGAGACCTGGGACACACAGACGTGGGTGGGGACTGGAGCTGTGGTGGCTGTGCAAGCATGGTGGTCCCCCAGGTGCAGAGAGCTCCACAGGGCTCCGGGGCCTGCACCACGGCCCCATGGCCATGTTGACAGCAGCACCGGGACCAAAGGTCCCTTTTGTGCCACTGTTATCTGGCCGTGGGCATCACGTGGCTGTTTGCTCTGCTGCTTTGAAGATGGCTCTGCCCCCACCCTGCTCATGGGATTTTTGCCCCCCCAGAGCTGCGGCACGTGTCAGGCGTGGATGGTGCCTGCCCAGAGCCCGGCCGCCCTCTGCTCCCTGCCCGGCCCGCGGGGGCGGCGGGGAGGCCGCGCAGTGACCGCAGCGAGCCGGCACCGGCACCGGGGCTGCCCTGCCCCCGGGCACCCGGGGCTGCGGGACAGCCCGTGCCGCTGCTCGGCCCCGGCTCCGCTCCGACTCCCCGGGTTTTGGGGCACGCGAGACGGAGACACCTCGCAGGCTCCCCGCTCCGAGGCTGCGCTGCCCCTGCTGCGTTGGCCGGCGCTCGGTGACCTTTGAGCGCCAAGGTCCGGCAGGCTGATAAAGGCCGGGAGGGCTGTGCCGAGCTGCCCACGCAGTTTATAAAAGCACTCCGCCAGGCCCGTCCCGCTGTCCACCTGTCCGGCCGGCCGTCCCTTCATCCAGGGCGAAGATGCTGCGCTTGGTGGGGCGCGCCGCGCGCTGCTGGGGGGCGAGGTGGGCACTGCCCGGGCCGGAGCGGGCGCCCCGGGGCAGCCAGCACCCCGCGGCCTGGCAGAGGGCATGGTGAGCACCCACACGGATCGATAGGGGGGCTGGAGACACAACCAGGGTAGGGCTGGGGAGGTGGCTGAGCCCTTAAACCTCGCTGGGGAAGGGGAGCCTCTCCCTCCTCCCTGCAGCACTGCAGGCACAGGAGCTACCAGGGATCTGGGGTGCTCCCGGCCCGGGCTGCTCGCTGGTGGCATCTCTGCAGGGCCACCCTCTGTGCCCGAGGCTGCCACGGAATTGTTGCCACTCTCTCTGTCCCACAGCCTCTCCAGTGCTGCTGGGACAGGTGCCTGGCCCAAGGACGTGGGCATCCTGGCCCTGGAGGTGTACTTCCCTGCCCAGTACGTGGATCAGGAGGAGCTGGAGCGGTTTGATGGCGTGGAGGCCGGCAAGTACACGCAGGGCCTGGGCCAGAAGCAGATGGGCTTCTGTGCTGCCCACGAGGACATCAACTCCCTGTGCCTGACCGTGGTGCAGCGGCTGGTGGAGCGCGGGCGCCTCTCCTGGGACTCCATCGGCCGCCTGGAGGTGGGCACCGAGACCGTCATCGACAAATCCAAGGCCGTCAAGACCGTCCTCATGCAACTTTTCCACGACTCTGGCAACACTGATGTGGAGGGCATCGACACCACCAACGCCTGCTACGGGGGCACGGCCTCGCTCTTCAACGCGGCCGCCTGGGTGGAGTCCAGTGCCTGGGATGGTGAGTACAGGCAGGGGCCGTGCCGTGGGGCTGGGCGCTGGGTGGGTGCCGTGGGACAGGGGAAGGAGGCAGGAGGTGGCCTGAAAGCCAGAGATGCTCCAACTGCAAAGGGAGCCACTGCGCCTCCAGGCTCTCTGTCACCCATCTTGGTGTGACACACAAGATGGGAACACACGAGGGCCGTGGGACGGAGGCTTCCACCCTCCGGTGGCCCTGCCAGTCGCTCTGTCCCCCCCCAGGTCGCTATGCCGTGGTGGTGTGCGGGGACATCGCTGTCTACGCCACGGGGAACGCGCGGCCCACGGGAGGTGCCGGCGCCATCGCCATGCTGGTGGGACCCAACGCCCCGCTGGTGCTGGAGAGAGGTCGGTGCCATGAGGCCCTGGGGGTGCTGAGCTGGTGGGTGCTGTCCCTGGGGGCCGTGCATCCCTGTCCCAGCCCTGGGCAGAGCTGCTCAGCCAGAGCCTGCTGGGTACTCCAGGATGCTGGCTGGCCACATCCCTGCGGGCACCATGGAGTGACTCAGGGAGGCTGCTGGGTTCCAGGGCTGGCACGGCAGGCAGCACCCCTGGAATGCCACCAGGCTGGGGTCTCCTCATGCTCTCTGACAGCTGGCTCTCCCCGTGCCCCCCAGGCCTGCGTGGAACCCACATGGAGCACGCCTATGACTTCTACAAGCCCAATCTGTCCTCTGAGTACCCGGTGGTGGACGGGCAGCTCTCCATCCAGTGCTACCTGCGGGCGCTGGACCGCTGCTACGCCGTGTACCGCCGGAAGGCGCAGACCCAGTGGCAGCAGGGTGAGTGGCAGCGCCCCTGAGGTGCCCAGCACAGCCCCCCGGATACTGATGGCCCCGTGTTGCCTCCCAGCTGGCATCCAGAGGCCCTTCACCCTCGATGACTTCAAGTACATCATCTTCCACTCGCCCTTCTGCAAGCTGGTGCAGAAGTCGGTGGGGCGGCTGCTGCTGAACGACTTCTTGGCCTGCCCCAACCCCGACACAGCCTCTGGCCTCTACAAGGGGCTGCAGTCCTTCCGGTGGGTCCCTGTGCTCTGTCCCCATCCCTCAGCCCAGCCAGGCATGTGCTGCTCTGGGGTTCCAGCTGGTCCCTCTCTGGACAGTGGTGTGAAGCTGGAGGACACCTACACCAGCAAGGAGGTGGAGAAGGCATTCCAGGCTGCCAGCCAGGACATCTTCAACCAGAAGACCAAGCCCTCCCTGCTCCTCTCTTCCCGCAATGGCAACATGTACACACCATCCATGTATGGCTGCCTGGCCTCCCTCCTGTCCCAGTGAGTCCCCCAAAACGCTGGCTTGGGGAGAGGGAGGAGGTCGTTCTGGGGAGGGCACTCCCTGTCTGGATAGAGGGGCAGAACTCATCTCCCCCTGCCTCAACAGGACCTGATCCTTTCATTGCACACAGCCCCCAGTGTGGATGCCTCCTGCTCCAGGCCATCTCCCTGCCAGACTTTTCCTCCCAGGTTGTTGGAGCTGGGCCAGTGCCTAAAGCTCCTCTGTCATCACTGGGAGGATGAAAACCCTTGTTGTCATGCCCAGCAGAATGAGTGACCCCCTGGGAAAGGAGTCATGGGAACAGACAGGCTCTGAGGGGAACAAAAGCCCTGTCCTGGGGCTCCCTGGCACCACTGCACTCCGGGGCTACGCTCTCAGAAATGTGGCCCCAAGGATCTGCCTGCCCACAAAGCAGGCAGCCCCCTACACTGCCCCCACAGCCCTGTATCTCCCTCTCAGCCCAAATGTCCTGTAGCCCCCTCACCTCTCGCTTCAGGTGCTCAGCACGGGACCTGGCCGGCTCCCGCATCGGCGCCTTCTCCTACGGCTCGGGGCTGGCGGCCAGCATGTTCTCCTTCCGTGTCTCGCAGGACGCAGCCCCAGGTGGGCGCCAGGGGACGGAGGGGCTGGGGAGGGAGGGCAGCGTGGGGCTGTCAGTGCTGCCCTCTCACACACGGGGTGCCCCTTGCCAGGCTCCCCCCTGGACAAGCTGGTGTCCAGCCTGGCTGACCTGCCCGCTCGCCTGGACGCCCGCAAGCGCGTGGCCCCGCAGGACTTCGCCGAGATCATGAAGCGGCGGGAGGAAACCCATCACTTGGGTGAGTGGGGCTGGGGGGGATGTGAGCCTGCCCTGCTGGGAGCCCACAGCACCCCTGAGCATCACTGCCCTCTCCCCGCAGCCGACCACGCTCCCCACGGCTCCCAGGCGGATCTGTTCCCCGGAACCTGGTACCTGACCCGCGTGGATTCCAAGTACCGCCGCGAATATGCCAGGAAGCCCATCTAGAGTGGGATCACCAGAGTGGTGAGCCCTGGGGAGGGGGATGCTCCATTTCCCCTGTTCATTCCCTGCATCCAGGACTGGTCTGTGTGGGAAAGTTCCCTTTGTATGGGCGGGGAATGGCCAGCAGTGGCTCGGGCCCCAGAGCTGCTGGAGATGGCAGCGGCTTCTGCAAACACGTGGGCAGTGCAGGGGAATAAAGGTGTGGATGGGAGGGGGCAGCAGCCCAGCTCTGGCTCCTGGTCTTGAATGGTCTCCTCCCACCCCCAGTCCCTCCCAGTTAACAACCACCAGTCTGGATCACAGCTGGTTACGGGATTTATTCCATGGCCACCTGCCCTGTTAGACATGGGAGTTTGCCCTGACAGTCTGGGGGACTCAAGTGAGCCTCAGCCTCCCAGTCACCAGTTTATGGGGGCAAGATGGCATTTTGCCCATGATGTCCTCAAACTGAAACCTCCTCACGGTAAAACCCGCGGGCAGGAGGGCACAGGTGACGCAGTGGCTCACGGGGAGGCTCGTGCCCCTTGCAGTGCTGCTCTCTGGGCCACATGCCATCATGGGACTGTGGCCAGACAGGACCTCAGCAACCACAGGAACCTTTGCACCCTTCAGCAAACAGCAGCAGGGCCAGGGAGCAGCAGGGGCAGGAGGGAGGGGGTTTGGGGTTGAGGACAAAGGACCGCACAAGGCACCACATGCTCTCTGCTTCTAGACCCTTTATTGAATGTGGGGCCACCCAAAACGCAGTGTGGGGCCCAGGGATGGCCATGTGCAATGCTTCCCCAGCTGGGAAGGGCCCAGATGCTGCAGCCATGGGAAGAGTCCTGGTCAGCAGTCGGGGTCTATGGCAGGTGGAGCTGGAAGATTTCTGTGACACG